TTCATAGGGGTTATTTGTCACAGCCATAGGAAGGTCACTGCAACACCTTCCTGTGGGACCTCCCAGTTGGGTGGTGTCTAATTGAACACCAGATTTTACAATTCCTAAAGCATGCTACACCTGGACCTGATGCTCTACCTGGCTATTCACAGCTTCGTTGCAACGTGAGATGTCTACTTCTCTCCAAACTCCATGATTCTATGATTCCGAGAACAAATCTTTAGAATTGCTGTCAACTTCTAGTTATATATTATTTATAGAAATTTTTGAAACCTGATGCAGGCTCCTAATTTTACTTGTTTTCTGTAGGCAAATTAACATTTCAGAATAATATGCACCATATAAAGAGTGCATCATAATTAGATGTAAAGTTTTTTTAAAGGAAGTTCCAATATCAGAGTTTTCAGCACATGTTGAAGGTGCTAGATGACCCATGGGGTATATTTTGTTGATGCTTAGAGAATAGAGCAATTCTTTGGTAACAAGGAAAAGAATTAATCAGAAAACCGTCATTTCTGAACAAAGGTACTTCTAATGTATTGAAACACTCTGCCAATTCTATAATGCCCTCTGCTCATTATTCTTTTGCAAAAAATATCCAGTCACCTAGGCTTCAATGCTGCTTTTATTTGTTCTGGCTGACCACAGTGCTCTCCTCATTCCTTTGAGTGGGAAACGTGCTGACATACATGTGACTATTAAGTGAGAAGCTGAATCTAGAGGCAATCTAGTAGGAGACATTCGGTCCACAGTCCCAAACTAACAATGGTGGCAGGACCTCGAGTTCATCTGAATATACATTCCAGTGAGATTTAGGCCAGAGCTGTGTGTCTTAGACTTTTATGTGGATCAGCTGGGGACCTTGTGAAAAAACAGATTTTAACTTAGTATGCCTGGGGTGGGGTCTAAGATTCTGCATTGCCACAAGTTTAGCACTTGAACCAAGCCTAGAGGAGCAGAACACTTAAAAAATAGGCCCTAAGTGTTATGAGTTCTAGATAAATTGATATACTTAGATTTCCATGCAGAGGAATTGAACCCAAAGAGCATGTCCACTGACATTCTCATGCTTAGTGGACCCAGAATACTGGGAGTACTAAACTCTTCATTCTGAGAGGTGCTGAACTTGCACAGGGCCTGGAATTACTTCATGTTTCCTAAAGTCCTCTGGAATGTTGCACAGACACAGCTTAGATGGGTGGAGAAAGCAGCGTCTGGATTCAGGAGGACTGAGTCTGAGCCCAGCTTTGCCTCTGCTTGGTTCCATGAGCTCTAAAAAGTCATAGATCCTCTTTTGAGTCCATGTCCTGTGTATAAATTATAGTAATAGCCAAATATAACTTTATAGGATTGTTTTTATATCAAATATGAGAATATATATATGTGTGTTTTATAAATGACAGGTGCTATGCAAATATTAGCTGAGGGGTTCGTAACCTAGCAATGATGATTTACACTCATCTTGGAACACTTGTGTTTGCCTAAGACCCTTCATCGTTTGTTTATTAACAACAAATATTCTTACCAAGAACACAGGTGTTTCGCTATTTCCCCTGGGTATCATTTGTAAGCAGTCATAGATTATACTTCTATAGTAAAAAAAAACACCAAAAAACAAAACAAACAAAACACACACACACACACACCCCAAACATTAAATTTTTCCCTTAAAGCATTAGTATTTTCATTTCCAATCCAATATGTTTCAGGGAAGGGGATGTAATGGGCAGCATATATTGGAGCTGGTATAGGACTTTGCTTGGAAGAACTAATTGGTGCTCTATGGCAGCTGTGGATGGTATCCTGAATTATCTACAACTTCTGGGAATAGCTTAATCAACTCAGAGATACACTTGGTCTGAAGAGAACATGCCATCCTCATCACCTAGGGAAGATGTTGGCCTGCAGGCAGCTTTTATTTTAATTGATTTCTTGATGAGTGTTGATTTTATTAAATTAAATTTTAGACAAAATGCCCGATGGCATCTGCCAGTGATAAGTGACAGGAAAGACATTAAAAGTTTAGTGAACACTTAGGAATTCCTTATCAGCAGGAATTTATTGAATGCCCCGGATGAGAATAGAAATGCTTGCATTTATAGCTTGCCAGTCATTTCCACAAATTCTACTTATGACACACGCTTTTCATTGAGTCTATTCCATTTTCTGATATAAAACCCATCTTTGTGGGACTTTGATTCATGTTACAGAACTCAGTACAATTTCGATTTCAGGGAGACATAATATATCTTGTTTAAAAATTGATTTTCTTTTATACTTAAAATGTTTTTAATTGATTTTAGAGAGAGAGAGACAAACATTGATTTGTTGTTCCACTTATTTATGCATTCATTGGTTGATTCTTGTATGTGCTGTAACTGGGGATTGAACCCACAACTTTGGCATATTGGGACAATTCTCTACCAATTGAACTACCTGGCCAGGGCTGAGACATAATATATTTTTGAGGGAGGGAGTCAAGAAGGAGAGAGGGAAGGAGGGTTGGAGAAAAGGAGGAAGGAAGGAAGGAAGGAAGGAAGGAAGGAAGGAAAAAGGGAGGGAGGATGGTAAACACACAAATGTTTTTGTTCTGTTTTTCTAGAAAACTCACTATGAGTTCATGTCCAAAAGGAGAATAATTTTGAACAACTAAATATGAGACAGTGTCAGGCTTTCTGGAGCTGATTTCTCACTTAATTTGTCAAAATGTACATTTCTGCAGGAATTAAAAGGCTCAATTGCTGCTTTGGTGTGTGTTTAGTTTGATTCAGGCCCACTTTTTGTTGTTCTTTCTAGATTGGCTCTGATTTTTATTTTCAACCTTAGCCATGGTTTTTTTTTTCATGCCTATTGTTTTCTTTTATAGTTAGAATACTCTGAGGATTTGTCATTAAAGTTTAAATTATACTAAGCATTGACAGTCTTTTAAGACAATGTTTTGAACACAGTAGGTGACACTTTCCATGGACATCTTACTTTGAGGGTCTTCTCATTGCTGAGGAGGTCCCACCAGGGACTATTAGACTCATTGTCTTGCCTCATGGACTTGATGGTTGAACTGGTGGTGGTTGGGTGAGACTGTTTGTTGTCGGCTGCATCTGCAGTGCTTGTTCTGGCTCAGACCGCTGTGGTGATTGCCTTCATTGAAAGACTAGTTCAAAACAAGTAAAGAAAGGCCAGTGAGGATTTCTAAAAGTTCTGAACTAAGGGATATTTGGAGAAAATGGAACTTGATTTTTCAGTTTCAAGAATAAATGGGACATACTGTATCTGATCTGACTAGTAAATATGCATCTACACATGTGGAAATTAGAAAGAAATAATGAAATGAGACACTCTGCTATTAACTGGTTAATAAGCAAAACTTTTCTAAATGTTTGATGCTTGTATTCAACCATTTATATATAGAATAATTTATGATTAATCACACCCAAAGCCTTGCCAAGTAGAGTCCCACAGGAATTACTCTAATGAATACATAAGCATCTCTTGTATTGAGCATATTAATTGGTTATATGCAAATGACTTTAAGTGCTTGAACAGTTTGGCTTAAGAGGATAAACATCTCTGTAATCTTGTATATGGTATTCATTTGCTTAGCTAGCTCTTTTATGATGGATTATATAAAAGTAAACTTTATAATCAACTGAATACAAATGATTCTGAGTTTGGCAAAACAAATTAATGAGTTTTTTTAAAAACTATATATA